CTAAATCAACAGAATCTAAATCTGGTCTAGCTCAAGAGGAGGTTATAAATATAATTAACAAAATTCTCTCAAATACCGAAGATAGACTTGAAGGGTCATTGTTTTGTAATAATAAGCAGCAAAAGAAACGTCATAGAATATTTCACAACAAATCTGAAACAGAGACTGATTCATCCAGCTCCAATTCAGAATCCACGGATTTAGACTGGTATAATCTCGACCCAATAAAACCCCGAAAGAAGAGGCAGAGCCTTGAATATCTGATTTATCGTATTCATATTAAAAAGAAAAAGGTTGTTTCTCCTATTCAAAAATATTATAAAAATAAGCATACCAACTGTTGCTACAAACGAGTTATTAAAAATCGACTAGAATAGTAAAAAAACGCAGGAATGGAAAAGAAATGTACTTATAAAATTCCTCTATCACCCAAATTTAGCTCCTTCGAAACATAGACCTGCTTTATATGATGCATTCACTAAGGCAAATGTTTAGGACCAAAATATATATTAGCTCTAGTGCGAGCACTTTATTAAAATGTAATCACAAAATAGGACTTAGACCTTAAGTTTGTTTAAGCTTTGGAATGAGGGTTCTGTGGCTATTTTTTTACTTATCTTATCTACTTGCAGATTTCAAATTTTGTAAAACCTATTTCTAGCCAGAGCGGATGGGGTCCCAAAGGGACCACCTAATATAAGTTATAATATTTTTTCGCTCCCTTAACCTAGACAAAAAACGTCTCTGATATTCCCCTTTCTGAAGAAGCATAGCTCCGAGGAAATTTTTCGAATTGAACTTTTTTCCACAATATATAATCTGAATACTACAGATTAGTCTAACTACCACATATATTCTACATATCTTATCATGTCCGCTATCACAACCAAGTTCATCACAGACCACAAACTCACCAATGAGATTAGTCTCGAAGAGCTTAGCCAATATGCACCAGAAATACTTGAGCTCTTAACAGATAATAAAGAAAAAAGGCGCCAGGCTCGTAATCGTTTTATAAAAGGGTATGGCTTTAGCAAAGAGCAGGCATTTGTATTAATTCCTCTCCAGAGAATCGGGCGATGCAAAAGTCAAGCACCGGTTCCAGAGAGACCAGAGTTGAAAGCTAAAGAAGTAAATATATGTCAAGTATTAGATAGTACTGGTTCCGAGGAGACTATTAAAGAAATAGCTCAGCATATTATACAGGATAAACTTAGTGAAAGAGAAGTAAAAGCAATATCTAGAATCTTAGAAGAAACATCCCCTAATGCTGTCATTGCCTTATCTCGTCTCTCTAGGTTTCAAAGAGAATTGCGAACTCTCAATGCTCTAAAGAAAATAATCTCTGCTACATTAAACCCGGAGATAACCAAAAAATCCAATAAAATCCAACAGGAACGTAGCAAGTAACATGAAAATGAAGGGGTTGATTTTCCAGACCACTTTTCATTAGAATCAGTTAAGGAAAGATTGGATGGGTATAACATATCCAATATACCTGACAAGCAGGCCCCAGCTGATGTAATAATTATACTCTGCATTCGTCCTGCTGAAATTAAAAACTTGCGTATATTTAATGGGGCTGTAACTGGATATGCAAAAAACTGAGGTCAACAGGACATCCCTCGAGTATTTAGATCACTGGAAAAGAATGAAGATTGGGCAAAACAATTGCTTACATGGATTCAGGAAGCAATCGTTTCTGGGGAGTTAAGGGATCCAGGAAAGCTTGGATCAACATACTTAAGTATGTTTTTGAAAAAAGATAAGTTTCTTCCAGAAAGCAGTAAGCCATTACTTTCTAGCTCTTTATGCAAATTAGGGGCAGTATTTGCTTCTGTAGCACATAGGCCTAAAAATGCATCGAAAGCTAACACTTATGCTAGTAAAGCCCTTCAGCATTCACCCAATAACCATGCTTCTCCATTTAAGAGATACACTATAGTCAATATGCGGAGAAGAGGAGAACCATATAATCAGGCAAAGGCATTTGAGCTCTTCGATGAAAACTAACAATAAATTTTCTTGGAAGGTGGGTTAGATGTCGTTTATTAAATTTATTTTTTTGTTCACCTAAGATATATTATACTATAAAATATCATGAAAATAATAACTGATCAAAAGCATTCATCAGATAGTACACTTAACGTGCCAGAAGATACCAGATATATAGAAAAAATTGCTAAGTTATTTGGATTAGACGAGCAGAATATAGAAGTATATAAAGTGCTTTTTGGACAGATTTGGGAGCTCGAAAAAAAATTAAAAGATTATTATTCCAAATATGAAAAGCTTAAAAGGAGGGTCAATTTATTGGAAGCTGAAATAGAAGATTTGGACGA